TATATAAGGATAGAGGATTATCGGGCTTGTTAAAGGGGACAGCAGGAGTTTAGACTATAGCTCATATGGAGCAGTAACACAGCGGTTGTTGTTTTCATTTCCATTTCTTAAGAGAAGTCTGTGCGGCCCCCATGGAGCAAAGGAGGAAAGGATGGCTAAGTTGACAGCATGGTTGGACCTTGGTAGTTTCTGCAATCAATTGCTAGTCACAGGCCCTAAACCTTGGGTACTGCCCCCTCCCAGTAACAGTCTGTACTAGCGGTCCTATTAAGGGCTATATATAACCATATTATAATTCTTTTCCAACTGTTACTGAGGGGGGGGGGGGCAGTACCCAAGCTAAACCCTGAACCCCAACATCCTAAACTCCACATCCATGTCTTGTGTGAAACCTTTGGGAGGAAGTCGATGCTTCGCAGTGGCCAAAGGGGCTGAGGCATCGAGAGGCGCTTCCTCGACCATCAAGAACCTTTCCTGCCTAGGGTTTAGAATCGGGATTCAGGGCTTAAGGTTTGGGACTTTTCCGGTTTAGGGTTTATGGCTTAGGATTTTAGGATTTCCAGGCTTAGGATTAATTAGGGTTAGGGCTGGTTGCCTTGCATAAGCAGTATTGCATGCGTCTCGCTGAAGGGCTTGGTCTACTTGCAAGAACTGATGATTCTTAAGGCTCTATGTACTCAATAGTTGGGTACTTGGGGTTTTGGTACTACTGTGGATTTTTTTATATTGGAGTGAAGGCCGTAATGAAGTATATATTTGTTGATTGCTCGAGAACATTTCAAGTTACCCTAAGGGTTCTACGTATACAGAAATCAGACACTCCTCACACTATATGATTCCCCAAACCCTAAACCCTAAACCCTACATGATTATAGTATAATGGAGTCTTAGGGATGGTAAGCTTCAGGTTGAGTACCCTGAACCAGCGGCCCTGATGCAAGCTCCCAGCACATGCCTTACTGGTACTTGGGTGAGAGTGGGGGAAGTGGATCCCTATGCCTCCCTAAACCCTAAACCCTACCCCATACATATCTCTACAGAGGTACCTCTATTCACTCCTCCACCCTAAGCCCTAAACCCCTTAACCCTATATGAAACCCCTACTCACTCCCCCACTGTCCCTTAAAGCACCCGTAAGAATCTATGAGTTTGAGAAGTCGCCATGGTGCGTTTTAACCTCACCGTGCCTCTGCTCGGGCGCTGGCATTTGCAATGTAGCCCCGAACCCGAAAACCTAAACCCAACCCTGACATTTGCTAGCCCCCTATAACATTTGGGTTTCCCAACTTTGTCGTATGTACAGAACAGGGCTCAGAATTTAGGATGTAGGATATACAGAGTTCCTGGCTGAACAAGCAGGCGGGCAGTACCCAAGATCTAGGGTTTCGGAGTTTAGAGCTGGCATAATAGGGATTATGGTATATTGGTTCTACATTCGCTCCCCCGCCTCCCTCAATTTATGGAAACCGCTAAATGTGTGCCAACCCTCAACCCTAAGCCCCTAATTCCTTAAATCCTGAGCTCCCAGATCCCCCCAGACCCCTAAACCCTTCCCTAATCCCCTAATCCTAAGGGTCCAAGTATCCAAAAAATCAGATACTTACCCAAAACCCATATAACCCAAAACCCAAGTACCTAATTATTGGGTGCTTGGACCCTCTCCCTCAAACCTAGATCCGCAAGGCTTCCTCCGGCAAGACCGAGCAGTCTCCATTCACGGACTCGTAGTGCTGGGGCTTCTGTGGTCTTTGGATTTAGGGTTTAGGGTTTGGGGTTAGGGTTTAGGGTTTAGGGTTTGGGGCTTCTGTGGTCTTTGGGTAGCTGGGAACGAAATAATGAAAAGAAAATGGAGACGACTATAGTGGGGTATACAGGGACTACTATAAGGATCCATTCCTTCATTCCTAGCTAACCAAACGCCAGTTCTGTGGTCTGGGATGCTAGGTTTCAGGGCTTCGGGGCTCAGAGTTTAGGTTTTACGGTTGAGGGTTGAGGGTTGATGTTTGGGGGTTTCGGGGCTCAGGTTTTTTTAGTTCGATGTTTCAGCATATACACCTACGGTACGGCGGAGACCACCTGAGATGTAGCCTTGAGGTGTAAGCAGCAAAGGCTACGTTCCGAACATCTTGGCTATCTAGGGTTGTAGACAGCTCAGACGCATGGCATGCCGGTTTCTTTGCTAGTTTCTTTAGCCCTGTGGTTTGACCAGTACTGCGAACATGTATGGTTTGTGTGCTGATTGGAAGCATTTTGGATGAAACCAGGTTGCATCCAACATTACAGAAGTTGTAAGCTGGCCCTCCCGGCTTTGGGGTTCACAGGAATTTGTCCGCGGACTCCTAGACTCGAAGCTACTGTCTTTCTGTCCGGTCCGCTGCCACATGGTAACCCCAGATATTCCCATTATTAACCTACTTACTAAGTCCCCCTGACCCTCCAAGTAATAACCCAATAACCTAGACCCGAAACCTCATACCAGCTGCTTCAGGACCCAGACCTCCAGAAGAAGCTCAAACTGAGGCCTGGCGACCCTATCTCCTTGCGTTGGGTTTCTAGTGTGGATAGGTCTGTAGTCTCCTTAGGAGTTACTTTTCAATTTTCATTATAGTAGAACCCTGAGGATTTATGTGAAAATGCAAATTTTCATTGCAGGGCTAAGGGGGCTACAGAGATGGGGGGCTTATGATTTACGTAGGGTGTAGCCTTTTTTGGGGTTGAGCGTTGAATTCCGAGGTTTAACGGTTAGGGTCTAGACTCTTGAGAGCCAGCTCCATTTCTCTATGACTTGTTAGTTATGTTCGGCCTTAAGCTTTTAGGGGTCTCTATTCGGGTGGCTACTTGCATTGCTACCTCCACATCATAACTGCATTCAGCAGGGCCCATGATTTCGCAGGGTAGGCTCAGGCTCACAATCAGCTTCGGTGTTGATGGGTGCCTACCCACGGCCTAAGAAGCTGGTTTGGAGGTGTTCAACACCCTAAGCCCTGAATGATGATATGGCCCCTACTATGCAAACCTCACCCAGGCCCTGTGGGAATCTCAGGCTTCTAGGAATGATCCATGATAGCATATTGAGGATTCTACTATCTAAGCCCTTTCAAGAGTCTGGCTATATGTGTCCTAACCCTAAGGGTCCAAGTATCTAACAGTATACTTACCCAAAACCTATACTATAATTACTAGTACCCAAAACCCAAGTACCTAATGTTTGTGTACTTGGACCCTCTGGGAAACCCTAAACCCTACTTGGAGGCCCATGGGAGTTAGCAACTACTTATAACTGGGCACTACTTATACTCCCCCTAAATGGGCTTATAGGGGTTACCCGAATTGTAAGTAGGGTTATACTCCCAGTTATAAGCAGTTACTAAGTTTCATGGGCCTCCAAGTAGGGTTTAGGGTTTAGGAAGCGCGAGAAGGTCGCCTAGCATCCTACAGGTCCACATCGCGTGTAGGGCTTTGGGCACCTGGAAGCTGTGGATGCCTTACCCCGAGGGTCCAAGGACCCAAATAATAGGGTTTAGAGTTTAGGGTTTGGGGTGTAGGGTTTAGGGTCCAAGGACCCAAATAATAGGGTTTCAGGGCCCAAATACTATTGATATTATGCATTATTTGGGTCCTTGGACCCTTAGGGTATGGCTTCTGGGCATAAGTAGTAGTACTGTATTACAGTATTGTATTATTGTTCTCTCTATTGTTCTCATTATTATCAATATTGTTATTGTTCGTGTTGCTGTTACTGTTTATAACCCTTTTCCCCCTAATATTCAAGAGCGACGCCCTAATGTTTATAATTCGACCCGTACTTAATATAAGGGGGAGTATGCATCGTGCGACCCGAACATGCGGGGATATCTACAACCTAGTCAAAATTGAATACAAATCGAGCAAATCGAATAAAAAGCCGATTACATCGAAAGAAACCGTTCAAATAAAACTACAACCCCATTAAGATCAACCAAGCTCAAATTATGAAAGCAAGAACCTAATGAAACCATTGCAATTCAATTTAAAGCATAATCAAGCCCCATTAAAGTATAGCTAAAATCTAATCGACATCTACATCAAATCTGTTGAAGTAACATGATTCAAAACCTAGTTCGAGCCCATTAAAGTGCCCGAAAACTGCAATAAACCAATTAACAGCGCATTCAGATTTTATCAGCTACCTTTATACAAACCATTCAGAAACCGTCAGAACCTAGGAAATGAAGGAGATCCCTAATCCTTAAGAGTCGTGCTAGGGAACTCCCCCTACCTCAGAGGATCCGAGCTGTAATTAGTTTTAGTCTTGGCCTTTTCACAAAGTAGTCTTGGGGGCAGATTTCAGAATTTGGAATTCTGGGAACCTGTACTCTATATTAGCGGGGTTGACTATCAGGTGGAGAGCGATTATATGGATGAGATCAGGGTCGTATAGGGATTCAATTGAGTGGTTGTAGCAAGCGGATATGTATATATGTGTATATATATATATACTGGTACTGTTTTCATTATCAGAAGCAGCGAAAAGGATCTTATGTGTTTGGTGGTGTGTAGATAGCCTGCGGTCGTGCCTCACGCCTATTGTGGTCAGGATTGAGACTGGAGGTTGTAGCATTCATGGCACGTTTTTTACATGGCATTGTCACACAAATTCAACTGTACCTCATCAACGTGCGACGGTCATGCCAGCGCTGCAATTCCTTCCATAGCTGGTCATGCATTGTAGAACCATGGGCAAGCAGGTATAGATGCAGGTCACAGTTCTTTGGCTAGTTGTGGTTTTGAGCCTTCTTGCCGGAATGCTTCGCATATGGCGAGTGTCAGGGCAGGAGCTTCCCGCGGTTAGCATTGAGGAGATCTCGCATGTGAAGGACTTGCAGGCTTCACTGCGCAGTCTGCATGGCTTCCCAATGTGCATGCAACGGTTGATGCACAATGGCAACACCTTAGACAAGTCCACCAAGCTGGATACACCCATGGACTTGCAATTGGTCCTCCTTGCCCTTTCCACCGAGGCCCAGCATCTTGAGGCTGCCAGCGAGCTTTGCGAGTCTTGCATCAAGGGTGATCCCAAAATCGTGCGGCTGCTTTTGGAAGCCGGCGCCAACAAAAATGCTGTGGATGAAAAGGGCGACGCAGCCCTCATAATCGCAGCTCGGACTGGCCACGTGGAGATCGCACGGCTGCTTGTGGAAGCCGGTGCTGACAACAACCTGAAGAGTCACTATGGCTGCACAGCGCTCATGGCGGCAGCTAGGAAGGGCCACGTGGAGATCGTACGGCTGCTTCTGGAAGCTGGTGCTAACAAGAATTTTAAGGAACTCGGCACTGGCTACACATCGCTAATGGTTGCTGCTCAGAATGGCCACGTGGAAATGGCGAGGTTGCTTTTAGAAGCTGGTGCTAACAAAGCCCTGCGGAATGACGAGGACCAGACAGCCCTCATGCTTGCAGCTGAGAGGGGCCACGTGGAGATTGCGCGGCTTCTTTTGGAAGCAGGTGCTCTCAATGACGAGGGGCGTCCCATTGGCAACACAGCCCTCATGCTTGCAGCTGAGAGGGGCCACGTGGAGATTGCGCGGCTTCTTTTGGAAGCAGGTGCGGACAAGGACCTGCAGAATAGATCTGGCAAAACAGCCCTCCTGCTCGCCGCCGAGAGAGGCCACGTGGAGATTACAAGGCTGCTTTTGGAAGCTGCTGCTGACAAAGACGTACAAAGTGGCTACGGCACCGGCACCACAGCCCTCATGGTCGCCGCATTCAAGGGCCACGTGGAGATCGCGAGGCTGCTTGTGGATGCTGGTGCTGACAAAGGCCTGAAGGATAGATTCGGCTACTGGGTTGCTGTTAAGGAACTTAATTTAAGTTACCATAATGGGTATATATAGTAAATAATAGGGTTTCCCCCATATAGTAACTTAAATTAAGTTCCTTATGAGCAACCCAGGCTACACAGCCCTCATGCTCGCCAAAGCCTGGGACCACGATGAAATTGCAACGTTGCTGTCGGGCAAGGTTCCTAGGATGACATAGGATCACCCAAGTCGTCGGCAGCTCAAAACGATTCAAGGACTCTGCTTGTAGAGCGCCTGTTTAACAAGGCCTTGTAGCAATCAATTAACTTGCTCAGCTCTGAATCCTGGATGGTGGCATTCCTCCAAATATATCGTGGTACCCCATAAACTTTGACACCCCAGAACCAATCCCACCCCTAACGTAGCTGCTTGAGGAAATACCAACATCATGTGTTTTGATGATCCTAGTTCTATACAAGCATTGTACAACTTTATGTTGACCCCGCATTTATAAAAGCCATCCCGGCCCCCCGCCCCTTTGATTTGTATCTTTTTGGGGGAGACAATGTCAGAACAGCTATTCAGCATCAATTAAGTAACTTGATTAAATTCATTGGCCCCCAAAAAGAAGATTTCCGGGAATGGTATACGGTGGACATAATTCTTGTTGTGTTCCAGTTGCGGGATTTTCAAAATGCGGGTATTGTCACGAACGTGAACTCAACATGATGTACTTATTGTATGGTAGACCGGTAGACCCCACACCTTATTGAATTTTGATCATTTAAAACCACGGCGTCGTCGTCGTCTTCGTCGTAGTAGTAGCAGTAGTAGTAGTAGTAGTAGTAGCAGTAGCAGCAGCAGCAGCAGCAGTAGTAGTAGTAGTAGTAGTAGAGCACGACAATCCCAAGACGTTAAGCCTTTCAATGCCACACCGAGGCTATGCCTGCGGTGTTGAGGGGCGCCCACGTCTCTACTTGCAATACCTTGGCCTTGCCACGTATAGGCGTCCACCGTATAACAAGCATCATGATTACTCTTACCAGCGCAATCAGAGAGAATTGTATACCCTAAAAGTGAAGCTTAAATCCCCTGCTTCAAGCCCAAGACCCCTTTTAAAAAGTCAAGACAGGCTATTCGTGTATGTAGTTTGTTTATTTGGGGCATCCAGGTCCCAGGTCCCTGAACCCTAAATCCTCAACCCTAAACCCCTGCATTGGGCCCCTTAAATCACCCTAAGGGTCCAAGTACCTAATAATCCTATACTTCCCCAAAACCTATACTATAGTTACTATTACCCAAATCCCAAGTACCTAATTATTGGGTACATGGACCCTCTGGGTCAGCGCATCGCCTCCCCAAACCAGGCGTGCCATCAGCGAAGGCATCCCATTGGATGACGCAGCGGACGACAGTGAGGCAAGCATCATGGCCCAAACTGTCCAAATAACCAAATATTACCTAGACCCCCAAAATATGTAGAATAATGGCCTTTTGGTCTACAGGGGTTTTGGGCTATTATTTTACCTACTTTTGGGGTTAGGGTAGGTTTTTAGGTACAAAGCAGTACCAAAAAAAGTTCTGGTTATTTGGGACCTCAATCCCAATTGTTTGGGTACTTGGACCCTCTAGGTTGCCGTTCAGACCTGGGAGGTGTATGTAGGTAAGTTGTATTTGTCTAAGTAAGCAGAATAGGGCCCACAGGGATTCCCATGTATATATCCTCCATCCGCATGGGCCGGCTGTAGTGAAGGATTTGGAAGCTCAGGGTTTGGGATTTGTGGCTCGGGGCTTGTGGCTTTCAGTGGGGTTAGGGTCAAACAGGTGCAGGCGTGCAGGTTGCACGGGGTCCATGGTTTAGGCAAGTGGTTTGGCGTAGGGGTTTTGGATATGCGGGGTTCTGGGTTTTTTTGTTTTGCGGTTTTGGTAAGCCATTCCGGAAGCTATTCGACACCTATAGTGTTTGGGACTCCTAACGGATATTGCTCAAAGTGTTCAGAGCTTTGATTTGTGGGTAGTGCTCAGGATTCGAGAGTTCATATAACCCCAGTATACTATAGTAGTTTCCTTCTTATTTTCATTATCCCTATATAACCCCAATATACTATATTCTGCCCTGTATATCCCCATTCTATTTGGGGTTGTGGGAGTTTCGGTCTTCACGCGACATATAGCCCTCAGGGTAGCTAACTTCCATTACTTGGTGCAGAGCTTGACGAGTGTCGCTTCCTTCAATTCTAGTCCCCTTGGGTAGATAGAACATAGGGTATACAGGGATCTTATTATAATATGCCCAAAGCCATATTCCATCTACTTAAGTTCGGGGACTATGACCCTAAACCCTAAATAGTACCTTCCATTTTCTTTTCCATGATCCCTATATAACCCCAATATAACCACTATGAGGTCATAATACAAAGCTGGAAAGCTGCCAAGACTCCCCCGTGCTTTTGGTGGAATGCATGAATGGATCCCAATAATGACATGCTTAGGGTATAGGGTCTAGGGCTCATGGTTTAGGATTTAGGGTTTAGTGTTTAGGGTTTAGGGCTTTTGAGCATTCCTGCAATGGCAACGTACCTGTAATCTATTCCCCATGCCCAACTAAGCATGCGCAAGTTGACTGGGGTCTTGTCTGTTTTTCGCAGGCATCACAGCTGCGGCAGCATTGAGTAGTATTTGGGTTGTGTCAAACTTGATGATGTAGGAAACTGCAGCTGTTCTTGGGTGCAGTATATCAGGGGGACTAGGACTAGGAAGCATTTAAACCCAAGCATTTAAATATAAAGGTAGGGGTTCTTATTGTAAAGAAGTTAAATGCCTATAGTTGAATGCTCCCTAGGGTTCCTAGGTTTATGGAATCCACAACCCAATGTAATGCCAGCATCTGCAGGATGCTTGGGTTGCTGAAAGATCTGCTCATGTCAAAGCAGCCATGCCTGCGCTACTGGTATGTACCCCAAAAACCCTAAACCCTAAGATGTCTGGGCTTGGGGTTTAAGGTCTAGAGCAGCTTGACGTGTTGGTAGTTTCCTAAAACTGTGAGACGGCAATATAGACCCCTAGGTTTAGGGTTTATAGGATATAGTAGAACCCTTATTATGGGGACCCCCAATAATAAGGTACCCCTACTTGCTTATCCAGATCCAATCACTGAAGAGCATGCATACTCTGGGCCCGTCTAACATCATGTTCAAGATCGAAGCCCCAAAGCCATCCATGCCCAAAATTAGCTCTAAGAGTCCTTGTGCCCAACTAAAATGCCTTTAAGCCCCAAATGCTATAATCTCAATGGAACTCGAAACCCTAGACCCACATGCTATGATCCGCTTTTGGTACTTCAGGCCCTCGTATATGGATACTTGGACCCATAGGGGTGGCGAAGCAGAACCGCGCTCCGTCAGGCTTCGCCTACCAAAGGTCTTGCCGCCATACTTCAAAGCTTTTCTGGACTTGCAAGCTTTAGGGGTTGAGGACGAAAGCAGGAAATGTAAAGGGTTAGGTATGACAGACTTTGATCCTTCGGCTCTAAGTACACACATAATACCTACCACGCTCTTCCAATGAGCAGTCTGGGCCTTTCAGACCTCAAAAGCCGGACAGGGCAGCATGTTATATTGGACTTTCAACAGTTGGGATCCTTTTTGGGGAGCACCTGTTCTGAGGATTCAAGGTGCTTTTGGCATAAAATATATACCCCCCCAGCTTAGGAAACTTACATATGTACCTCCATCCGAAACTTCGCATGAGCTATAGTCCAAACTTCTAAAAGGGGATTACGTAAAGAGATTCTATACGGGACTGCGAAAAAGAAGGATACTAGGATTCTAGCCTATGGCTCGCACAAAAAGCGAAGTGGTGAAGGTTCGCCTGAACAAGGCTGGAACTGTCGGGTCCCACCTAAACCCTAAACCCTAGACCCTAAATAGTAGTTTCCATTTTCTTTTCCATTATCCCTATGTAACCCCTATATAACCCCGGACTGCCGGCTTTCAGGTCCCAACGCGCCAAACGCCTGCACCCCCAAACTGAAGTGTTCAACCAATCGGGACTGAGGGTTTCCAAGAGAATGGGTTCCCCTTTTCTACACCCCAGATACTATAGGGTTTAGGGTTTAGGGATATGAAGTCCCCCTGATTCTTGCAAGCCCCCATGTCTCAGTTTGTAGGCACTAGCTTGATACTCCTCGGCTGTTCAGATTTGAGCATGCAGAGCATGTTCGTCCATTCCAGACTAGCTGCTGCCGAGTACAAGTAGTTGCTTCCGCCTTCCGCAGACCTTAAACCCTAAACCCTTAAGCTCATGCTTGAAAAAGACAACTCAACCTTAAACCCAGAAGCGACAATTAAACCCTCAACCCTACACATTAGCACTTGAACCTACAAGTAACACCCTACACCTACACCCCTAACCCCCCAAATCCTCAGCCTGAAACCTTCAACCCTAAATCTTAAGCCTTGAACTTCCAACAATACCCTAACGGTCCAAGGACCCAAATATTTGGGGTTTAGGGCCCAAACACTACAATATCGATGGTATGTGGGCCCTAAAACCCTATTATTTGGATCCTTAGACCCTCAGGGACCCTGAACCCTAAACCTCCAAACCCTAAACCCTGAACCCTAAACCCTAAACCCTGAACCCTATTTATTATTTGGGTCCTTGGACCCATCGGGTCTGGTTTCACGTGTTGGATCCGAATACGATATGGCTCTGCAAGCAGAGCAGCATGGAGGTACAGGGTAACTATCAGCGGTTTGGGGTTTAGGGTTTGGAGTCTAGGGTTTAGGTTTAGGGTTCAGGTATAGAACGCATTTAGAACCAGATTAGGTGGTCAGGGGCTTGTAAGTGGGTTAGAAGTACCGTAAAAACTGAGCTGTCACTGCCCTAAACCTCCAAGTAGAACGGTTTAGGAAACTGTTCATATCATCCTTGTCCTTGTTCAGGTTGTAGTTCCCAACAGGTCCCTGTAGCTATATGGTATATATTTGGGGCCGAAGGGCTTCCCATATAACTACTTTGGAGCCTTTGGGGCCC